AGAGAGAGAGAAGAGAGGGAGAGAGGGAGAAAGAAGAGAGAGAGGGAGGGAGAGAGACAGAGAGGTGTCACGGTGCTCAAATATAGGTTAGAGGACAATCTGTAGGAATCAGTCCTCTCCTTCCAACATGTGAGCCATAGGAACTGAGCTCAGATCATCAGGCTTGGCAGCAAGCACCTTAGCTGCCAAACATCTCTCGGGCCCTGTTGTTTAATTTCTCTTTATTAGGTTTCTTACACACACACACACACACACACACACACACACACACACACCCACCCACCCACCCACCTGAGCTCATGTACTGTTTTTGTTGGTTTGTTTTTGTTGTTGTTGTTACTATGAGATCAGGTCATCTGAGAAGAGGAGCCACAGCTGAGACAATGCCTCCATCAGACTGACCTGTAGGCAAGTCTGTGGGGATGTTTTCTTGATTGATGATTGATGTGGGAGGCCCAGCCCACCGTGGGTGGGGACAGCCCTGACCAGGCAGTCCTCTGGGGTGTATAAAAAAGCAGACTGAGCAAACCTGGGAACAAGTCAGGAAGTGGCACTCCTCACAGCCTCTGCCTCCAGGTTCCTGTCCTTCGTGATGGACTGCGATTGGACGCATGCAAACCAATTCAACCCTTTCCTCCCCAAGTTGCTTCTGTCATGGTCTCTATCACAGCAATAGAAAGTAACTGGGGCAGTGTGGGTGCTGGGAACAGCAGAAGGGGGTTTTGGTGGCTTTCCCTGTGCTGGAGCTGCATGTGGTAGCAGTTAGTCACCCAGGGTGGGTGCTGGGAACTACAGCAAGCGCTCTGAACTGATGCCATCCTTCCAGACCTTTATTTAATTTTGTTGTTGTTGTTGTTTTGCTCTGGGACAGTGTTTCTCTGTGTAGCGCTAGTTATCCTAGAACTCACTCTGTAGCCCAGGCTGGCCTCAAACTCAGAGATTCACCTGCCTCTGCCTCCCAAGGGCTGGGGTTAATGATGTGTGCCACCCTTGCCTGGCTCCTTTATTTATTCTTTTTAAAGATTTATTTATCTTATTATGTATACAGTATTCTCCATATTCTGTCTGCATGCATGCCTGCAGGCTAGAAGAGGGCACCATATCTCATTACAGATGGTTGTGAGCCACCATGCGGTTGCTGGGAATTAAACTCAGGACCTTTGGAAGAGCAGGCAATGCCCTTAATCACTGAGCCATCTCTCCAGCCCTATTTTGTTTTTTGAAGACAGGATATTTTGTAGCTTCAGCTGGCCTCACATCCCCTATATACTCAAGGATGGCCTCGAACCCCTGAACCTCGTGCCTCCATCACCTGAGTGCTGGGATCACAGGTGTGTACCATCACACACTAGTTTGTGTAGTTCTAAGGATTGAACACACGCAGGGCCCTGTACATACTAGGCAATCATTCATTCTACCAACCAAGCTATGTTCCCAGCCTTGATGCCAAGGGGATAGACTTTCTCACTTGACTCCAGGGAAGGAGCTGTTCTCCAACATTACATTCAGGCTGGTTGGGAAGCTCTGAGGATCACTGCCTCTGTGACCCCAGAGCGACAGCAAACTAACTAGAAGGCTCCTGGGGTCCTGGTCCCAGATAGCAGACAAAATGGAAAGCAATGAGACCTCCCTGCGTTCAGCGGGTAACTCTGGAAAGAGCCCGGGGCCCCAGGACAAAGAGGAGCGAAGTGTGAGTGCGGTTTTTTTTCTTAGCTGAGTCGGCCAAGTGTTGACTCCAAGATTGGACAAGGCAGCCCCCACTCTGAGCTTGTTGAAGGTAAGCTGACTGGGGTGGGCCTAAGGGCTTCAGAAGCTGAGTCAGCTAGAGCGGGGGATGCTGGGAACCAGGGAATCTTCCAGATCTGACAACTCTTCCTTGCCCTGGGCAATTATAAAGCCACAAATCACAAAGAAATGGTGGCGTCAGCACCTTGGGGACCCTAATGGAATCCCACGCTATAAAAATTCAATCAGCCTGCTGACCTGGTGTAAGCCTGGCCAAGGCAGTGAGGCTGGGATGGATAAGGACACTACAGGCAGGAGGACCCTCGGAGTCTGATAGATACCCCCCACCAATCCCCTATTTTCACACCTTCTGAAACAGGTCCTTTGGCTCCACGGGGATCAGCGTCCTCCTTGGGCACTGAATCTTTAAGAGGCTCCACTATAGTTGGGAGGAGTATGGGAGCTGGTTGGCTTGCTCTACCTTGTGTGTATGTGGTCAGAGTCATATCTATAGGGCCCTTCCCAAAGCCCTCAACAGTGCAGGACAGTGACAGGATCTCTGGGGACCTCAAAGCACATGGGAACTGAAGAGCAGGTGCGCTCTTAAGACTGGAGAGATGGCTCAGAGGTTAAGAGCACTGGCTGCTCTTCCAGTGATCCTGAGTTCAATTCCTAGCAACCACATGGTGGCTCACAATCAGCTGTAATGAGGGTCCTTCTTCTGGCCTGCAGGTATGCTTGCAGTACAGAACACTGTATACATGATAAATAAAAAAAAACAAATCTTTTTTTTTTTTTATAGAGATGCATTCTTGTCCTCTTAGCACTAGCAGAGTGGAGGCAGAGGAACAAGAGGATCAGGAATTCAAAGTCGTCTTTGGCTACTCAATGAGCTCTAGCCAACTTGAGCTCCATGAGATTCTATCAGATAGGTGGAAATAGGGGCAAGGACAGAGCTGGGCCACCCTGGACAGTCTCAAGAGACCCAGAGAATAGACTCTTAGGAAGAAGTGGGAGAAGTGACAGAAGTCATTATAGAGATAGCTCCTGTTTCTGGATGTGAGCTGCAGGTCAAATCTCAGCGGAAAGGTGTCGATTGCGTTGGGTGGGTTACTCAGTCTAGGGGTTTGTAACCCACCCTGCAATCAGTTATTCCAGGGTCTCGGAGGGGCGCTACCTGGAAGGGAATGAGCTAAGACAGAAGAAGGAGGCCAAGCAGATTTGTCAAAGCCTCCGTTTATTAGGGACGGGTTACAGTTTATATATGCTAAGGAATGGGGGGCAGGGCACGGAATCTCTCCCAGTGGTCCCTGTCACGTAGGCCAGGAGGTAGGCCTAGAAGTCACAAGTTGTCACACCTGGTTCCCTGGATAGCTGGAATGTGAGGCGGTTCTGCTAACAGATTAGCAGTTAATTGGCTGTGGGGCAGGTTCTCAATAGAACATAATTATGGGTGTGAGGTTCCCTGCAGACTCCCCAGGGTGATGGTTTCTGTAATGATTTTTAGAGGGGAAATGGCTCCTGACAGAAAGGAGTGGGTTCAGGGCTCTGAGGAGCTCGGCTACGTCTCGGAGGTCTTGACCAAGGGTAGGGGTCAAGTTCAAGGTTTGTTTAGAAAAAGGACCTCTAGACTGGTCTGGAAGGATTTAAACCAAAGAGCCTAAGCCTTAGGTGCTCTTGTGATCTTTTTTTTTTTTAATGTGTATTTTTTTTATGTGTATAGGTGTTTTGTCTGCATGTATGTCTGGTCTGTGCACTACATGCATGCAGAGGCCAGAAGACAGCGTTGGATGCTCCAGAATTGGAGTTAGAAATGGTTGTGAGCTGTCCTGTGGGTGTTGGAAACCAAGCAACAAGCACCCCTAGCCACTGAGCCATCTTCCTCACCCCACGAGGACAGTCCTCTGCACTGTGGCATGTTCACCAGCTCTCATGGCCGTGGCATGTTCACCAGCTCTCATGGCTGTGGCATGTTCACTAGCTCTCATGGCCTCCTACCGTTGGAAACCATGAACACTATCCAGCTTTGACGTGAAAATGACTCCAGCAGGCATAGGGATTCAGGACTACACTCCCAGCAGGCAGGAGACAGAGACAGGTGGAGCACATGAGTTCAAGGCCAGCCTGAGCTACTGGACGCCCATCCTATCTCTAAAAGATTACACTAAATTTAAAAGGGAACAGAGAGGTGAGGCAGTGGTGGCACACACCTTTAATCTCAGTACTCAGGAGGGACAAGCAGGCAGATCTCTGAGTTGGAGGTCAGCCTCACAAGAAATCAAGTTCTAGAACAACCAGGGCCTACACAGAGAAATGCTGTCTGGGAAAAAAGAAAAAAGAAAGTAAGCCAGTTGTGCACACATCTTCAGTCCCAGCACTCGGGAAGCAGAGGCAGGTGGATCTCTGTGAGTTTGAGGCCAGCCTAGACTATATAGCAAGTTCCAGCAGAGCTAAGACCACTTTGAGACCCTGTCTCAAGGTGGGGAATAAAAGCTGGAGGGATGGTTCAGTTAGGTGAAGAAGTTCTTGTTGCCTGTTATTCTTGCAGAAGATCTGAGTTTGGTTCCCAGCACCCATATCAGGCAGTTGACGCCCCGGCTCCAGAGTACCTCTTCTGGCCTCCCCAGGCATTGCACGCATGTGACAGACACACACACACACATACATATTTAATAATTTAGAAAAGGGGAGGACAGGCAAGATGGATCAGTAGGCAAAGGAACTTACTGAGGCGTGGGATGACCTGAGTTTGATACTTGGGACCCATGAACCGACTCCTGCAAGTGTCCTCTGACCTCCACATGCACACCATGGCATGCGCACAATGAATGAAAAAATGTAACTTAATAAATTTTTGACCCAGGATTTCCCCTGGAACTCACTTTGTAGACCAGGCTGGCCTCAAACTCATAGAGATCCGCCTGTCTCTGTCTCCTGAGTGCTGGGATTAAAGGCATGCTCCACCACACCCAGTAATTTAATGAATTTTTAAGTCCTCACACAAAAGGAAAGATGCTGGTGGTTCATGCCTGTAATTATAATGCAAGAGGATCAGTTCAAGTGTATCCTGGGGTACATGGGACTGTCTCGAAAACAAAACAAAACAAAACCTCAACACAATCCAAACCACAAAGTTTAAAAAAAAAAAAAAATCTGTCCAGGGAGCAGAGCCTTCTCTACCCTCGTGGAAAAAGCAGTTTGGATAATGGGGTGCAGAAATGGAGCTTTGTGGGGAGGTGCTATGTATTGCCCTCATAATAATGTTTTTCTTTTAGGGAGAGCCAATGGCAGGGTCCACTGTCTGCAAGATCACCTTACTGTTCCTGGTCCTGCTATGCCCGGAGCTCCACGTGGCAGGCACCCTTGCATCTGGATCCTCTCCCCGGAATCTGCCTGAAACCCAACCCCACCTCCCCAGCTCTACACTGTGGGTGCCTCAGCCCAGTCATCATGGCCGGCGGGGCCTGGGCAAGAAGGACAGGGGCCCAGGCATGCCCAGCCGGGGCCAGGAGGGGGCTGTAGTCACCGCCGCTAGGCAGGCTTCCCGGATAACGCTTGGGCAGCGCCCTGCCGGCCTTCTGCAGGACAAGGGGCTGCTTCTGGGGCTGGCATTGCCCTATCCTGAGAAGGAGCCCCGGTCTTCTGGGTGGGAGAGGATGAAGAAACGTGGCAGAGAACACAAGAGACGCAGGGACCGGCTGCGCCAGCACCGAGGTAGCTGGAGACCCGGGAGCCCTTTACTCTGGGAAGGCTCTAGGCTCTAATGCGGAGTACAGGAAGTGGTCAGAGAGTCAGAGTTTTAAGGCCCCGGAGAGACCATTCAAAACCCCCAAACGGGCAGAAGTGGACTCCCAGAAGAAGGGATGCATCTTACTAAAGTCAGGGCAGTCTGCTAGGGAGAGGAAGCCGGGAGAAGTCGAGGAGGGACAGAGGTGGAGAAGAGGGAGCTCGCGATAGAAGCTCTGCCTCCTTTGGCGGTCAGTCATCCTCCTAGGTCGGGAAAATCTACTTTGTACCTGAATCTACCCAACTCTAAGCCCTGCTAGCGTCCAGACCGAAGAGCTGGGAACCCTCCTCCGGGCACGTCTTTTAATGAGCTCCAGAACGGAGTGGAAGCTGAGAGCTTGGACTCTGCACTCAGATCTGTTGAGAGCAGGGTCTGACTTCCACTACTCACTAGTTTGTAGTCTTGGGAAAGTCACCTTCGTGAGCCTCAGTTTGTCCCACTGCAAAGACACAGCCCGACCTTAGTGTAGGAGAAGGTGACCTGCCGCTCAGAGAGCTTAGACTTGGGGGTCAGGACACCATCCCAAAGCAATCGCTACTAAATCCCGGGCGTCTCAGTCCGTACCCTCCAACCCTGCACACCAGTGCCCCCATGTGGTGGCCAAGTGACTATCACGGTGACAAAGAGGAGAAAGTTGATTTGGGATCAAGGATTCAGAACATTCTGTCTAAGTTGCTTGGACATGTTGTGAGGCAGAGCTCGGTAGAAGCAGCCTGGAGCTGCTCACCTCATGGTGCCCGGTGGCTGAGGGAAAAAAGGAGGAGGAGGAAGAGAGAGGAAGGGAGGGACAGCACAGGAATACCTGGGTCCCTGTATCCCTTCAAAGGCACCCCCAATCACTCAAGTTCCTTCCACTAAGCCCCATCTCCCAGAGACCCCACTGCTTCCAAGTAGAGCGAGGGGCTGGAGAATCAAGTTTTCCTTTTTTAAAGATTTATTTGTAATGTTTTTAGTTATGGGTATGTATGTGTGAATACGTGCATGTGAGCGCAGTGCCTTCGGGGGCTAAAGGCATCTGGTCTCCTGGAGCTGGAATAAAAGGAGGTTGTGAGCCACCTGACACGGGCGCTGGGAAACGAACTAAGGTCCTTTGCCAGAGCAGCGCATGCTCTTAGCTTCTGAGTCATCTCTCCAGCCCAAGTCCTGGGTCCTTGGGGACAGCAAAGATACATACTGCAGGGTCTTGAGAGAAATGTCACCCCTCCCATGCCTGCCCATCTCCAACCAGTTGGGTTGGCCCCTCCCCTAAACCGGATGGCCCCTCCCACAACCAACTGACCCCGCCCCCACCGGCAGCTGGTTCCTCCCCCATCAGCTGACCCCTCTTGCTCCAACCAGCTGACCTTTCTCCAGCCTCACCTGGCCCTGAGCCTACATTGGCCACCTGGCTACTAAGTCTTTTCACGTAACAAGACTGCCTTAGGGACAGAGCGACTGCCACAGACGGGCTGGTTGGGTGTTTCTCCTGGAGGAAGGTGGAGCACCCACCCCCACTTCTTTCTGCAGATAGTGAGAGAGAAGGCACATGCTTCCCGGCCAGGTTAACTGAGAATCCCCAGACGCCAAGGACAAATGTCATACTCCCTCCCATTCTCGGGGGTCCCCTGTGCCAATTTGGAAACTGCTGATGCCTGAGGACCAGCAGGAGAGCACAGTATACATGGGGTCCCCAATTTTCCTCTTTGTTCAAGAGGCAGGACCCTCCTGAGGACAAAAACACGGTGGCAGGAGACAGATGAAGCCCACAGGTCAGGACAGTTCATCACCACTTGTGAAGCCTCAGGCTGACTGGGGTTCATTTCTGCGAGGTGGGGTGGACCCCACGGGATCCGTATCAACTTATACCTGTGCGTTGCAAGGACAAATGTAGACGACCAACCCCCCCCCCATCTTCCATCCTTGTCCCATTGTTTATGATCCTGTGCCTTCCGCTCTCACTCTCCCACCTGAGTGTCTTCAAAGGTGGCCCCAGAAATCAAAAGCATTGGCTTTGCACCCGGGATGGAGGTTCAAATCTATGCCCTGCCATACGAGAGCTGTGTGTCCTTAGTGAAGCCGCCTAACCTCTCTGGCTTGGGTTCCTCCACTGTGGATGAGCTGCAACTGCTTCTCAGAGTTCCTGAGGCACTTAGATGAAGTAACTACTGTGAAGTGGCGTGTGCGCGTGTATGCATGTGTGCATGTGTGTAAGCAGCTTTCTCAAAGTCTCCCCAAGCAGTGTCCCTCAGCCTCCATGAACCTCACCTCCTCCAGGAAGCCTTCTATGGTTTTATGTCCCTAGCTGCCCTCAGGCATCCTGGATCCAGACTTCTAGAATGCAGCTTCTCAAGGAGGAGAGCCTTTCAACCAGTCCCCAATGACTGCTGTTTCTGGGTCTCTAGCAGGGTGTTGGATAAACCAAGGGTCCACAGCAGAAAGGTCGGGCTGCCCTGTAGGTGGACACTGAGCAGCAGGCTGGTCACCCTGTGTTTGCCCTGTCTCAGGACGAGCTGCCATCCGCGGGCCCAGCTCCCTAATGAAGAAGGTGGAACCTTCTGAAGACCAGATGCTCGAGGCTGCGACAGAGGAGTCTTCTACCAGCCTGGCCCCAACCATGCTCTTCCTAACCACAGCAGATGTCGCCACACCTACCCCAGAGGAGTCCCGGGTCCTGCCTGTCACTTCCCTGCGGCCCCAGGTAAGGGCACATGCCTCCTGTCAGGACCGAACAGAACTGTAGAATTAAGGTGTGCATCAAAAGGAACTTTCTTGGAGTGGCCTACAGGCTGTGGTCCGGCTGGTCCAACAGCTGCTGTCTCCCCACGGAAAGGCAAAGAAAATCAGGTTTGGTCCATGAGGCCAGGTATCTCCACTGGTCTTTTCTGTGTCATAATCCTGAAGTAGGTTCTAATACCGGCAAATACCTCGGCAGCAGGACAGACGGACTTGCCACCAAAAGCGAGGACAAGTAGACAAAAAGCAAAAGCTTCCTTCTTCCAAGTCCTTCCAGGCATGTGGGGGCGGGGGGTGGGGGGCGGGGATCGGAAGGTGTGGCCCCGATTTAGGGCGAGTCTTCTCACTTTGAATGATCTGATCAAGAAAAATCTCTCACAGTTGGGCCAAGCTGCTTGGGTGTTAATTGATTCTCCTCCTATTCTACTTAGGTAAACTGAGGCACAGCAGGAGGGTGGTAGTGGAAGCCAGTAAGCTTTTGCCCCACTGGGTATTCTGCCTCCAGAAAAGATGCCAAAAACCACAGCATATGGCCCTGGGGGCTTGGGCTGGGACAACCGGGAAGCCAGTGCCAGTTCAGCATGCTGATCGCTACACACGTGGTGGGGGGGGGGGACTCCTGGGAGGACCTTAAAGTCTGGAAGAGCTCCAAAATCAGCCAGGAGATTTTAAAACCTGTGACTAGAGTGGCATAGGTCAGCGAGGTGGCTGACCCGTCTACTCCCCAGCTCTGAGAAAGTAAATGGGAAGGGAGCAGGGACGCTCACACAGCTCTGACCGCCGGAGACTCAAGAAGGGCACAGGAGTTCACCTGACCATTCTCGTTTATGATGGGGCCAGGAGTTCACCTGGTCATTCTTGCTTATGAATGGGGACGGGAAGGGGACAGACAGCTCGAAAGCTGTGGCCATGGGCAGGTAGTTACAGTCTGTGCCCTGCTGAACTCTGGCCATCACGTACATGGGGACCCAGCCGCGATATCTGGTCCTCAATAGTTTCCAGGATATTGTTCAGCGTGGTGAGTGGGTCAGCATTGTGAGTGGCCCTCTGTTGTGAGTGGGATTGAAGCCTGCATGTGGTCTTCACAGAACCTTGAGAGACGGCAGAGAAATGAGCAATGGGTCCACCTCTAATTCCCTCCCCCATGGGCTAAGACATTCTGAACAAGCAGGTTCCGCAGCCTCCCTCGCCATTACCTTGGCGTCTTCACTTGGAAGACTCCAGGTCTCCTCCCTGCCTCGTCTTCTGCAGGCGCAGCCCAGGTCTGATGGGGACGTGATGCCCACGCTGGACATGGCCTTATTTGACTGGACTGACTATGAGGATTTAAAGCCAGAGGTCTGGCCTTCTGCAAAGAGGAAAGGTAAGTCTGCTTTACCATCCTGCCCCATGTTTGGACTCCCCTGTCCAGCACCTACTGAAGAGGACCCTTGCCGAGTCCACGATGACCCGCAGGTGTCCGGAGGTGGACTGAAGAGCATCAGTCTAAGCTGAACCGGACTCTAACTGTGGCAGTCTCCCACGCTCTCTGCACACTAGACAGGTCCCACGCCTCTTACAGGGCGACGGGCTACAGGATCTGCTTTGGGGAAGAAAGTGAAATCGAGAGAGGCAGAGGATCTTGTCCGGGCCACACTGTGGGAGTGGCCACTGACTCTGTGACACCCCCGAATCTGCGCTTAATATGACCTCCAATCTCCTTGTCCCCAGAGAAACACTGGAGTCAGTACGCCAGTGATGGTAACGAGACGTCGCCAGCTGAGGGGGAACCGTGTAACCATCACCAGGATTGTTTGCCAGGTACCCTGGTACCCCTAAACCCACACGTGAGGCACCAGACTGGGAGGGAATGCCAGAAAGGCAGGTGAGACAGGGCTTCTAGCATGGGAGCAAGCCTGAGTGAGGGTCATGACCCTTTCTGCGCAATAATTAGCAACTGCAGTAACCACGAGTTTCCTGAGCGGCTCTGCCACAGGATGACGTTAGAGAGAGGTGGGGAGAGGAGAGAAGTGAGGTGTGGTGGGGGCGGAGACTGACTGACTTCGTTTTCAGGCAAAGCAAAGCAATTAAGCCCTACAGAGGCCAAGGGCCTTTTCCAAGATCACACAGCCTCAGCCATCTTGGTTCCTAAGCTTCTTACCCACAACCCACCCTGCCCTGAGTGAGAGGATCTGCTCCTGACCTTGTCTTCTCCACGCCCACAGGGCTTAATTCAGTTCCCTCATCACGTCACCACCTCGCTTTCTGAGGATGGTTTCCATGACACCCTCTCCCGGTCAGCATCCTACTCATCATAGCGGAGGAACATGGGGGGCCTGCTGTCTGACTAGAGTCTGAGCTGCTGGTCCTGTGGGGTCAGGTGACTCCCCAGAGCAGAAGCGGTGGTGGGGAAACATCTGTCACCACAGCACTTGGGAAGCGAAGGCAGGAGGATCAGGAGTTCAAGGGCATCCCCGGGGTCCATAGGGAGCTGCAGGCCAGACCCTGTCTTGGGGGATGCTTCTCTGGGGTCTGATGGTGACACTTATTCGAGGCAAGAGACGAAATGAGTTGGCAGAGAGTCCTCTGGCCTGATGTCATGCTGGCCCAAAGGGAGCTGTGGGGAAAAGCCTTCCTGCCAGGGAAGCCCCATGCTGGGTGGCCCTGGTCATAGCCATGCTGTCCCTTGTCTGAAGCTTCTGAGGAAGGGGGTGGCTGGGACAGGGGCCACACACAGCAGGAGATCAGAGACTACTGGTGTCCCTTACTGCTACCAAATAATGAGTGCCCTGGGGGGTGGGGGCCGGGCAGACTCAAGTGGCCATCCCCATGGCGCCACATGGGCAGGATAGTCTGCAAAACGCAGCCATTTTGGCATTGTTGAAGCGGGATACCAGCCCAGACAGGCTGTCTGTTCCTACACCATTGTCTGCACTCTGAGTGTGAAGAGAAGTTTGGAGTCAGGGCCAACAGGACAGTAATGGGCAGAGACGCCTCAGGCTTGCCTAGGCTATCCCTGCAGCCACCCAGGGCTTTCGTTCCCCCATCTGTCCAAGAGGACGTTGGCGTCCCTGATCCCTGAGGTCCCTCCCCTCCCTCAGCCGGCTCTACCTCTGGCACCCCCATCCCTGGGAGGCGAACCCCACACCACCTTTGATCCTCCCATGATCGATCAAGTGGCCATCTGGGGAGGCCTGCATCTCTGCCACCTACCTCTGGGGATTTTATCCCTGAGATCCAGCAGTGGCCCCAGCCCGGGCGGGCGGGCGGGGGGGGGGGGGCTTACACACCAGATGGCACACCAGGGCATGGACTGCCACACATATGATGGATCTCCTGTCCAGTGGGACTCAGTGCGGGGCGGCAGGGAGGAGCCGCTTAGCTTGGCTGACCACATGTGCCTGCTGTGTTGCCAGGAACTTGCTGCGACCTCCGGGAACATCTCTGCGCGCCCCACAACCGCGGCCTCAACAACAAATGTTTTGATGACTGCATGTGCATGGAAGGTCAGGCCGGGCTCCGGAGGGGGCCAGCCCCCCCCCCCCCACCGTGCTCCCGGAACCGTGAAACCTTTGTTGTCCAGCCAGCTCTGCAATGAGTGGGGGCATGAGGTTTCCTGGCAGAGGGTGGTTGTGACGGAAAGGTTTGGGGAGAGGGAGTGGGGTAGGAGAACCCCCTGGGAGCTGAAGGCACCGGTAGGAACAGCTTTGCCGGGGTCTTCCAATCTGTCTGCTCAACGCATCTCCATTCCTGGCATGGTTTCTCAGATTTGTGTTCTGGCCTCTTGAAACACAAGCTGGTATGATCGCTCAGGATCAGGAGGGGGAGAAGGGAGGAGACAGGAACGTATCCCTTTTAAATAAGAGCCAACCTGAGAAGGCTGGCAGGCTCTCGGCAGAACTCTGGATGGGAGACTTTCCAAGTGAGACGGCGGGGAACAGGGAGTCGAGTGGGATTCCCAGCAGCCACAGGAAACGAGGTTTAACTTTTCTGAGCACCCACCCAATGGAAGGGCGTGCCCCATGCACACCTGTGCCCGTTGGTGCCTGTCCTGTGCCGTGTCTACAGTCACCCATGGAAGGAAGGTTTTATGATTCCCATTTCAGAAGTGAGGTGAGGTGACTTACTCAAACACATCTATGGAAGAGTGGGTGCAGAAGAACACCTTGGTAGTAGCGTGTTTGTCTCTAAAAGAACAGCAACAGCAAAAAGTCCTGAGGCAGAACTATGCTGAGAGTTGTGTAGGCAGGCCTCAAACACGTCATTCTCCTGCCTCAGCCTCTCAAGCAGCTGGAGTTAAAGGTCTGCAGCATCATTGCTGGATCTCCCCTTACTTCCCTTGCTTCTTTGTTTGTTTGTTTGGTGGGGGGGTATTTTATTTTATCATAGGAAAAAAGGAAAGGAGTGAGAGAGGAGGGGAGAGGAAAGGAGGGGAGAGGAGGGGAGGGGAAAGGAGAGGAGGGGAAGGAAGAGGAGGGGAAGGGAGAGAAAGGGAGAGGAGGGGAGGGGAGAGAAAGGAAGAGGAGAGGAAGGGAGAGGAGGGGGAGAAGAGAGGAGGGGAGGGGAGAGGAGGGGAGGGAAGGGGAGGAGAAGGGAGAGGGAAAGGGAAGGAAATGAAAAAGAAGAGAAAAGTTGCCTGTGGTGGTATATGCTTGTAATCCCAGCACTTGAGAGGCTGAGGCAGGGCCATCGTGAGTTTGAGGCCAACTGAGGGGGGTGCACAGTGACACCTTGCTTGGAAAACAACAAACCAGGGCTAGCAATTGGCTCAGGGTATAAAGGGTCTTTGTCCACAAGCCTGATGACCCGTGTTCAGTAACTGGAACCCTCGTAACTGTGGCAGGAGAGAACCAGTCAAAGTTGCACTCAGGAGGCAGAGGTAGGTGGATCTCTGTGAGTTCAAGGCCTGCCTGCTCTACACAGTTAGACCCAGTCTCTAAATAAATACATACATACATTGTTGAAGGGATAGCTCAGTGGTAGAGTGCTTGTCAGGCCTTGAGTTCATCCCCCTACCCAAATGAAAGACAGGGCCAGGGAAGGGCTGGGGAGGGGGCTCAGTGGTGAAGAGCACTGGCTGCTCTTGCAGGGGACCCAGATAGCAGCTCAGGACCATCCACTACTCCAGTTCCAGGGATCCAATGCCATCTTCTGACCTTCACAGGCACCAAACATGTACATGGTACACATACATCCAAGCAGACAAAACTTCAGACTCCAAATAAATCTTACAGAAAAAAGTTTAAATAAGAACTATGAAGAAACAGGTGGAAAATAATTCGACGTCTGTCTTCAGAGTCTTCAGACCCACACTGCTGAAGCTGTAGTCTCAGGAGCCCCTGGTTCCTGTCACTGAACTTCAGTAAAGACCAACTGTGGCCATCCTGGGTGGGGTTCTCACCTCCACACACTTCCCTTATGTCAATATGATCTTTATGTATTTATACAGTATTTATTTTGGCGCACACCTCTGAGAGATAAGCACCCTTTCAAAACAAGGTCCCTAAATTGCCGAGCCAAGTGATATTCAACCTTCATTCCGGCATCTGAGGGCAGATTCCTCCCCTAGCTGCCTTGTGAACCTGAGCCACACACAAAGTCTAGTTCACAGTAATAAAAGAGCCTGCATCTTCTCCACTCCTGTGTTACAGAAACAAACCCATAGATGAGCCCTCTCTGGAGCCAGGTACGGTGGCCTGTGCCTGTGATCTCAGCGCTCCAGAGGTAGAGATAGGAGACTCAGGGGTTTAAGGTCATCTTCACCCACACAGGGAGTTCCATCCAGGGCATCCTGGGCTACAGAAGCTCTTGTATCCATCACCCACCCACCCCCACAAAAGGAAAAGGGGAAAGAAAAAGTCCCTGGAGAGTCATAAGGGTTGTGAAAAAGAAAGCCCGAAAGATTGGAAGGTATTTCCACAGGATGTTATGTAGACTTCTTAGGAAAAGGGCAAAAAAAACCCGGGTGATGAGGGTTGGAAAAGAGCCTGAGGTGTTCCGATAGAAGGCAGATGGTAAAGGCAGGGAACTGCCTGGCTTGGCTTGGCATATAGTGAGGCCTGGAAAAGGTTAAAAAGGAAATGAGAGAAGCTTCAAGAAGAACTGCATTGACTTTGATGCCCTCGTTTGGATTTTTTTTTTTTTTTTTTTTTTTTTTTTTTTTTTTTTTTTTTTTTTTTTTTTTTTTTTTTTTTTTTTTTTTTTTTTTTTTTTTTTGGTTTTTCTAGACAAGGTTTCTCTGTAGCTTTAGAGCCTGTCCTGGAACTCTGTAGACCAGGCTGGCCTCGGACTCAGAGATCTGCTTGCCTCTGCCTCCTGAGTGCTGGGATTAAAGGCATGCACCACCACCGCTCGGTGCCTCTGCCTCTTAAATGCTGGGAGTAAAGGGTGGGCTACCATGCTCAACCTGTTTTTTTTTTTTTTTCCTAAATAAGAGATGAGGTCGTGTATAGTTCAGTGATAGAATGTGTGCTTAATATGCGAAGCCCCAGATTCAACATTTAGGTTTTGCTGGATTTTTGTTTTGTTTTTGTTTTGAGTCTGCTATGTAGCCACACCAGCCTTAGACTAAGCCCAAACCTGCTGTCTCAGTCTCAGGCCTGTGCACAGCCCAGTTTCTCAAAACTTTTCAAGACATTGCCATGACTCGGTGGTATGGAGGGGCTGTAAAATGAGAAGCCTGTGTGGGCTGAAGGGGAAGAAAAGGAGGGGGGGGGAGAAACAGTCACCCACAGGCATGACATCCTTGCCTCCTTCCACTCAGGGCTGCGTTGCTATGCCAAATTCCACCGGAACCGCAGGGTCACTCGGAGGAAGGGGCGCTGCGTGGAACCTGAGACAGTCAACGGGGACCAGGGATCCTTCATCAACATCTAGCGCCCTAGCGGTGCCTCCCCACAGGCCGGGGTTCTGAGCTAGGGAAGTTTGGACAAATAAGACCGCGTCAGTAACTAGCTCAGCTTGGGGCTGCGTGGGGGATCCAGTGACTGAGGCTGCCGGTGCAGCCCCGGTTCACTCATCCCCAAGCTGGGTGAGGGCTTGGTTGAGAGCAGCTGTGTCTGCCATCCCAGGTGGTACCCACGCAGCTCACGGAGCCCGCTCTACGTGATAGTCGTGTCGAGCGCGCCCTCTTCTGCTTGACATCAGCATTACAGCAGCTTCAATTTGGAAAATTAAGAGTTTTTTCCCGGCCTGGAAAGGATTGGAAAGAGAGGACACCCAACGGGAGTGGCTCTGGAATACTCTGTCCCAGGCAAACGCCAAGCACCACCTTCATTTTTACTGAATTTCCACAGAGACCGCTGAAGCACTCTTGAGTTGCGAGACCTGTGCAAGGTCCCACGTCACCCATGATCCTCCATCTTCGGCAGCAGACACAACTTGACTGTCTTCAGCCTTTCCCAACAGAAACTTATCATCTTTTTGAGAGACATGGTCTCACTCTTTGGCCAACCTGGCCTTTGGAAACTCAGACAATCCCCTGCCTCTGTCTTCCAAATGCTGGGATTACCAGGAGTGAGTCAGCATATTTGGCAGGTGTATCCTCCTTAAAATCAAAGCATGGGGCGGGGTGGGGTGTGGCTAACCCTAGTTTCCACCCCCAAACGTGGTGTCAAAGGCAGATGGTGCTGGAGGATCAGAAGTTAAAGGTCAAGTGTGAGGTCAGACTCCAGGAGACTGTGTCTCAAGCAAAACAAAATAAGCCATTGGCCAAGCCTGCACAGGGCCCTGGGTTTGACCTCCACTCGTTCTCCTCCATTCCCGCTTCTTTCCCCAGCCCCCTACACACGGGGGATGCGTTCAGGTGAAGAAGGGTCCCTGTGAAAGGTCCTTCCCTCTGACAAGTGCTAGTCACAGTCATGAAGTGGCTGGGGTAACTTTCCTGGTGTGGGCTGGGTCATGGGGTCGCTCCCTCCTAAGTTGTCCTCAGAGCGTCTCTCCCCCTCCCCCCGCTGGAAGGGCAAGCACATGCCGCCCTGAGTTCACTTGACACGATGTTTGGTGACTCCCAAACTCCCTAAGACCATCTCTGGACTCCATCCCTTCACTTCAGCAACAATGCCCCTCGGAAAGGGGGGCACTTCCAAGACTGTGCAGCCTTCATGCTCACAGGTTAGAACCATGATGACAGCCTCACCATTATTGCCACCGCCCGGAATGTGTGTCCCAGAAGATCTGGAGCCACCTGAGGAGCCACCTCAGGAGAACCCTTTAGACCCTTGCTCCTGGCATCTCCCTCCTGGTCAACCTTTGCAAAGGAAAAAAAAAAAAAAAAAGCCTTCCCTGCCCCCACCCTCCCCAGCCTGGACCACATCCATGGGATGCCAGGGCTGTTTACGGCTTTGGGGTAACCAGTCTGGTCCAGGGATCAGGCACCAAGGAAAACAAGCAGATCTAGAAGAAATCAAATATGCTTGTTCTTCTTTCTCAAGTTGGGTCTGATAGGCCTGGGAATGGGGGTCAGGGCCAACAGCCGGAAGGATCAAAGTGGCAATGGGAAAGCAGATTCTAAGGCAGATTCATTTTCCTTTCTGTAGTACCAAGGCCTTGCACGGTCCAGGCAAGTGCCCTGCTGCCGAGCTACATGCTAACTGGTCTGGGCTTCGAAGTCTCCAAAGCCTCCCCAGGGGGCTGCCATGGCAGCCTGAGAACATTGGTCCCCTGCCCTCCTACCTGCTGCAGCATACTGCTATACACAGCCTGCGCCTCCTCTCACACTTTGCTGACCTTACGGAAGTTGCTCACGGTCTCTGTGCCTTGACTTTTCAAAGAAATGAAAATGCCTGATTCTTAAAACAGTGCCTGGCCCATAACACACACACACACACACACACACCACCTAGAGTACCAGCTAGCCAACTTCAGCAGGCCTTCATTTCCACAGTGATCCATCACATACTCAATGATGCTTTTTTTTTTTTTCTAAGTGGTGTCTCACTATTCGTCTCTGGCTGACCTGAAACTCACAATGTAGACCAGGTTAGCCTGGAACTCACAGAGACCCGCCTCCTCTGCCTTCCAAGTGCTGGGATTAAAGGTTGCACCACCATGCCCGGTTCAGGATGCTTTCTGTGATTGCTCCAAAGTGCACTTCACAATGGATGTAGTGGCCTCCTTCAGCCTTCCCCAGAGCATCCTCAATGAGGAGAATGTTTAGAAAGTAAGGAAGGAACCAAGAGCCCAGGGGTGCCGGGAAAGTGGGGTCAGGAGAGGTCAGCAGCTGAGGCTGCCCTTTGAGGGTCCTGGGGCGGGACTACATTAACACTGGCCTTCCATGCAGCCTTCACGCTCACAGACCATAGCGAGTGGGTGCTAACAGGCCATAGATACTGTGCGTACACAGAAAAGGGGTGGTCAGGGTGAGCAGACTGCACGCAGAACAAGGGGTTTTCACTGCAGGGAGTGGGGTTTCCAAAGCCCCAGGAAGGGCAGGTGGTCTGGGACAGATCTATGACCGAGCCACCCCGGGTTGCAAAGTTCCAGCATCACCTGGGAGTCTGGTAGAAGCACAGACTCTTGGGTCCCACTCCACACCTACTGAGCTGCAATCACAGGAGTGGTCCCCAGCACCTGGCTTCTAACACGTTCTCCAGGGCATTCTTGGGTGTGGTGGGTGTGAGGACCACAGACGGAAGACAGATGCCAGCGGTGGGGACATTAGGACAATTCAGTACTCTTGTGTTCACTATGGCTTGGCGACTCTGAGGTCTGTTTCTTGGCAATTGACCAGCAAGGACAAACTCCGCGATCCAAGGCCTACCTCCTTGACTGCCATTGGCTCTGCTTAGAAGACACCAGGTAGGGCTCCTAGGCCCGGAGTCTCCATCACTGGACGTGTGTACTCTTGGGAAATGCCTTGGAGAGCTATAGCTCCTCCCTGAAATGTGGGAACGGCAAGGGAGGGGTACTATGGTCTGTAATGCCATATTGCATGTATTCTCTGAGCTGTAAATAAAGAGGCGACAATTGCTAAGCCACTTCTTGACTCTGTTCTTCCAGGAAATGGTCAGTCTGACTGGCAGGGAACATCGCCAGAGCCTTGGAAGGGGACCCCAAGTCTTGTATTTCTCTTCTCATTTCCCATTTACTTGATTTGATTGAGGTCTGGTCTGAGCAAGCAAGGCAAATGTGGTTCCTCTCTCACCTGGATATCGAGGTCTACAGGATTGGAGCAGCTTCTGGGGAACCCAAGGAGGTTGGGGTGCTGTTCACTACAGACTGATCAGCAGCAGCTGCAGCAGCGTCCCGCTTCAGTGTGGTTCAGGACAAAACACTGTCAGTCCTGACAGGGCCTAGGAAGGCTCAGATGCCATCTTGGGAAAGTTTGTGAACTGCTTGCGGTGGCCTGGTTTGGCAGCTGAGAGAACATCTAATCTGGGTACCATTCCTGCCAGCACCATCCCAGCCTGCTCACCGGGTCCTCTCAGGTCTGGATAACCAGAGCAGTTCTGGTTCCGGTGGCAAGGGCTTTATTATCCCAAAGTCAAGGCTGAGCCCAGACTTTTCTTTCCCACCAGTCAGTTCCCAAATAACCACATAGAGACTTAATATTAATTATAAATGCTCCACTGATGGCTTAGGCTTATTTCTAGCTAGCTCTTACAATTTAAATTACCCCATTTCTACTCATCTATATGCTGCCCCAAAGTTCATTTACCTCAGCTACATAGTTCCCATCCTGCTTGCTCGGCTTCTCATGGTCTCCTCTGACTCCGCCCTTCTCCCTAGCATTCTCGTGCCCTGGAGAATCCTGCCTAGACATCAGTCAGCTTTATATTAACAATGAGAACAGCACGTCTTCACACTACAGAAGGATTATTCCAGAGCACCCAGGCACTTTTAGAGCCTGATGTCCTGGCAAGACAGCCCTGCCCAGCTGTGCAGAGTGGGCAGGGACCAGCTTTCCCAAACCTAGGGTTTCCTAAATCATGAGCCCTGACCAGCCAGCTCCAGCATCCTCCAAGACACCTTGGGCTTCTGAACCCACACGGCCTCTGGCTCAGTGTATCGAGGGCTCTTGGAACTTGGCCTGCTTGATCTTGCTGCACCAAACCTCTCTTACTGTGTCCCTGCCCAGTGAGCCGAGATACTCCTGCTGAGGGTGGTTCTAGGGACCAAACCCAGGATGTCCCTTTCCTACAGACATCAAAGATCATGCTATCTCTGTCTCAATTCTTCAGTTCTCCCATTAGTTGGTATGGAAGCAGATGGTGTGTGCTAATAAAATTTTATTGACATAAAAGTTCAATGTGGTAGATTTGGTCTGTAGGCTGGAGTTTACTTGTCTGTCGCTGACCTCTAGTCAATGGCTGTGGAAAGGCCTCTGGTCCTGACGTGCTGGCTTGAATCTGTTTTTAGATATCAGTGACTCTGAGATAAAGGACCAAGGCCAGGTGGCTGGAGAGATGGCACAGCAGTTGGGAGGTCCTGGGTTCAGCTCCCAACAACCACAGAGTGGCTCCTGGCCATCTATGGTGGGGTCTGGTGTCCTCTTCTGGCATGCGGGTGCTTGCGGGCAAAGCACTGTGTGCATAATAAATAAATAAATAAATAAATAAATAAATAAATAAATAACCAAGGGCAGACAAATCCCAGCTCCCGGGGTGTCAGCAGCCTGGGTCCAGGCCTCAGAGGTCAGGTGGCTGTACTGAGGCAGATCAGTTGGTTTGCTAAGGAAACAGAACCCAAACTAGGCCTGGTGCCTCAATGCTTGCAGTCCCGACACTTGGGTGTTGGAGGCAGGAGGATCAGCAGTTCAAAGTCATCTTCGGGTATGTGATGAGTTTGAGATTAACCTGTACCACTTGAGACCCTGTCTCAAATTTAAAAAAAAATCCAACAAGTATTTATAGTCATATGCCTGCCTTTAAATAGCTATGTGTTTATATATCATACATATATGTATCTGTGTCTACATATCAACACACACTGCTTTACTTTATTTTAAGCACTTGGCTGTCTAAACTGTGGACTGGCAAGTCCACAATCTGTAGAACAGGCTGGCAGGCCAGAAACTGAGGCAGAAGCTAATGTTGCCTGAGGCCAGATTTCTTCTCCAAGGCCTTCATTTCCGGTCTTAAAGCGTTCAGCACAAGAAAACTGCCCATCGCAGAGGCTCTAGAGCTTCGCTCCCCAGCCTATCACAACACCTGGACATGTGGCTAAGTTTCTCTGACAGGCAGTGTGGGTCTGGGCTTCCTTGCTGTCAGTCATCCCAAGCTTTGGGTGGCGGCAGTGGCAGTGGCTGTTCTGTTAGCTGTGTGGGCTCCCGTACCTCAGTGGCCGGAGCCAGGCGTCCCATCCGGGGCTGGGAGGGGCTGAGGCAGAGTGAGAGGATAGGAAATGACTAAACACTGTGCTCCTCTCCCTCTTCATTGTCCCCTCAGCCCTGCATCCCGCATGGCATATCGTCCTAGGTGCACACAGGGGACCAGAAGCAGGATGCCTTGTGCATGTGGTCCTGAGTTGTCTTTCTGCGTCCTTAGCCATGGCCTTGAAGCAAGGCCTAGTACAGAGAGGAGCTGCATTCTTGAAAACCCAGCCGTGGTTCCTGTTCATGGGAGGAAGCCCCCACCCTCCATGTGCTCAGAGCTTCTTTATAGAGAAGAGAAACTGAGGCACAGAGAAACAGAAGTCTCTTCGCCAGAGTGGGGCTAAGTTAGTAGGTGGTGGAACTGGAGGCTTTACTGGAATCTGACTCTAAAACCACATCCTGCGGCTGTGAGTCCTTGGCCCTCTCAAAGGGCTCCAGTTCACTGAGAGCCTAATTAGAAGCAAAGCACCGAATGTACCCAGCCCTCCCTAGTAACCTGGAGTTCCCCCTTGCCCCTCTGGCTTCACCACGAGGCTTCCTCCTGGGAGGTGCTCCCTGCCTCCTCCCCCTTCCTCATTCCTCTCTTATCTCAGGCTCCAGAGTCTTACCACATTGTGTGGGGAAGGTGAACCTCCTAGAGACTGTGGGATCAGATACACAAACACCAGAGAAACTGGCGACTGATGGGCATCTTGGGGTGGCAGGACCAGGGCCACAGCTACCCTGGTGTGTCTGCAGACAGAGCCCTCAGATGCTCTCAGAAGTGGAAATTCCAAAGCCATCCGTCAAGAAAGATGGGAGGCCAGACAGAGGAAAGCCTGGGGCCTGAGTTCCTGAAGCTCCATAAAAACTTTACTGGCTATGGGAGGTTGAAGGAGCAACAGCCTTCAGGGAGGGCTTGGTATGGGGCCGGTAATGCAACCAGACAAGATGCTCAGGGTAAAACAGGGAGAACAAAACGTCTAAGCACACACATATATTCATGCAGACAACATTCACATACACATGTACACACACTTATGTATCCACACACACCCCCCACACATACATGCGTGCACACAGGAGCATGGGCACCTTAAGAAAGGGAACACTGTAGAACAGAGAACAGAAGAGTAGGCCTCCGTCCTCCAGGGCTATAGCCTCTGCATCTGCTTTTCCTTCTGCCAGTTTCCTGGAACACAGAAAAGCAGAAGCAATTTCCCCATCTGCCTTTTCCATGGGGCCTTTGGGTGGGTCCCTCAGTCTCTGACTTGAATGCTCCGGTCCCTGGAGGGACCTAATGGCGCCCCACCACTGTAAGCCTCACTTTGGCATTATGGAACTGCTTTCGTTCAGCGCACTGACTCTGCCCTGGGATCCACAAGGTAACTAGCAGTGGGGTGAATGCCTGGCCTCTCCACCCTCACGTGACATGCCTTCTTGCTGTGGCTCACCTGCTCCCTCTGCATGAAGGCGCAAAAATCACTCCAGCATATCCTCTCTATCTCTTCCCCTTCATGGAACAAAGACAGGAGTAACCCAGGCATCTCCTCGGCCGCTTTTTTTTTTTTTTTTTAGATTATTTTCTTTTATGTGTATCAGTGTTTTGCCTACATGCGTGTACATACACTTCAGGCATTCCTGGTGCCCAGGAAGGTCAGGAAAGGATCCCCTGGAACTAGATCACCAAACCCAGATCCTCTGCAAGATGAGAAAATGCCCTTAACCACAAAACCATCTCTCCAGCCCCTCACTATCAGCTTTTTATACTGTCCTATTCCAGACTCTCCAAGAGGCACCTAAAATGTCTCTTCTGGGGGACCTGATGCACCCTCTTCTGGCTTCTTTGGGCACTGCACACACATGGTACAGGGACATAGTAGCAGGAAAAATACACCTAAAACAAAAATAAAATCTTAACAACAAAGGGCAGCTCTGCCTAAGCTTCCAGGCTCTCTCCAGTCCTGTCAGACCCGAGGCCAAGAAACCCAGAGCCAGTGTGTCTATGAAGGCAGCACCATAGGGAAGGATGCTGAATCCAAATGGCAAACCATCCCACCCTGCTGTGCTGCTGAGGGGCAGGACTCGGGCCCTCTAGTTTCATCCCAGAAAGGCTTCTTGTTGGTCCTCACTTCCTGACAGCCCTGTGTGCCCGCAGCTGGAGTTTGGGTTCATATCCTCTGCTGCTTCTCCCAGCTTGGCTTGTCCACTTGGGGAAGGAAGTGGCTGGGGCTTGCATCAGAACTAGCGTCCCTTACCTCATGGAGCACAGGACAGCTGGGGTCGTCCTAACGCCCTTTGCCATTTGGAGCCTCTGTAAGCCTCACATGCCTTAGATCCAGGGAGAGGGTGAGATAAGAGGGGCGGGGAGTAATAGAAATTGGGAGATAAAGAAAGGCTCCACAGTTAAAGCACTTCCTACTCTTCCAGAGGACCCTAGCTCTGCTCCCATATGCCCATCAGATGGCTCGCAGTGGCCTGCCTGTAACTCCCGCTCCAGGGAATCCATTGCCCTCTTCTGGCCTCTGTGGGCGCACACAGCATACAGTGCATGCAAGCACACATACATGCAATACAAATAAAAATAAATCTTTGAAAAGTGAATAAAATTTAGCTGGGTGATGGTGGCTAACGCCTTTAATCCCGGTACTCAGGAGGCAGAGGCAGATGGATGTCTGTAAATTTG